TGTACCCCTGGGGATAAAAAAATATTATATGTTTATAAAAAATAAAAAAAAAAAAGAAATGAAAATTAAACCACCATTATATGGCAAAAAAAAAAAAATGTTAAGAAGCTATCATAGGAGTAATGTAATATAATGTAATGTAATGCTTTTCCAGACCTGGTCAACTCTTTCCCGTAGTTCATTTTTTTCAATCAGTTCCGGTAGATTCTTAGCGATGGAAATCCATTCATCATAAGGTGGAGGTAGCTCCTCCTTGAAAAAAAAAGAAAGGGGACTTTTATGTAGTAGCAAAAGTTTTTATAAAATAGGTTTGCTTCTGACTGATAGTCTCTCTCGCCTCTAGATCTGTTCTCTGCAATGCTGTCCTGTCACACACTTCCCTGTCCAGTAACTCCAGTCCCTGCATTGCCACCTGTACACCCAGGGCTCACAACCTTCTTTTTCTCTTCTCAAACGCTTTCACCTGCCTCTTTTTCACAGTTCATCTCAAAAGGTCCACTGAAATCATCCTGATTATTCCAGTCTACCCTTATAGCCCCAACTATGCATCCTATGTGTTATACCTTTACACTGTTAAGTAATTTGTTGTTATCTGCTATTTATTTTTTCTTCCTGGCTAAATTACAAACTTTTTTGAATGGAAGAAAAATGAGATTTTTTTTAGATGTCACCAATAGACTAGGCATTTTGCTCAATAAATATTTAAATGTTATAATGACCAAAAATGTTGATTGTTATCTCCATTTCATAAATAAGGAAAACAAAGCTCAGTTTATGAAGTTGTTTTGAATATGTAGTTTATTGTCATTGAATATATAAGTGTTTCCAGTTTTGAAAAATCAATGCTCTTTTAAAATCCCACTATCTGAGGGCAAGGATTTTATCATGCTTTTAATTTTCTATTTCTCACAGAACCTGGGACAATACTGGACATGTAGGAAATGCTGTATATTTTCATTTTGATTGTCTGCTTTGGTACTATAGGCTTATATTTCATCCAGCAAGTGCAAATAAAAGCCAAACAAAAGTTTCTCCTTGGCTCTTATTACATTTGTACTTTCATCTCAAAGGAAAACAGGTAACAAAGACCTAGACAACACCCTGAAATGAGATTCAGATCTCTGTACAACTTCCTATATGCTCTTTCCTATTCCTCCTTCATTAAGCTGTTTCCAGACATGTCCTTGAGGTCATCAATTCTGAGCTATGGAGACATAACAAAATTAGATTAACTCAAACCAATGTAGATGAAGTTTTAAGCTACAAAACAAAGTTAATATTATAAGTAAGCTATAAGACAAAAAGGCAAATGTAACATAAAATTCAAACATTTTCACAGGCTGCAGGTAACTGAACAGTCTTTGTCTCTGTCAGGGCAGACTTTTAACAATGAAAGATCCAAGCACTAGATAGTCACCTTTCTTGTTTCTCTGAATTTTTCTCCCTATCCACAAAAAATGCTATCGTCTAGTGTTTTTAGTAATACATATATCTTTTTTTGTTGTTTTGTTTTGTCTTCTACCATGTAACACAACTGAATTTTTGGTTGTTACTATTTTCCCCAAATAATGGATTTTTTTTTTTTTTTTTGGTTATATATCATGATTAGCCTCCTATTTGACAGAACTATCAACAGATGTAAAATTCAATCAATAATAACTTCTGGTTCAGGGATGCCTGGGTGGTTCGTAAGTTAAGCAACTGCTTTCAGCTCAGGTCATGATCCTAGGGTTCGGAGATCGAGTCCCACATTGGGCTCTTTGCTCAGCGAGGAACCTGCTTTTCTCTCTGCCTACTGCTCCCTCTGTTTGTGCTCTCTCTCTCTCTCTCAAATAAATAAATAAATAAAATCTTTAAATATATACATATTTAAAGATATATAAGAAATGTATACACACACACATAATTTGGGTTCGGAGGGTACTTAAATGGTATAATATAAATCAGTGAAAAATAACGCAACAGGTCATTCAACTACTGCTAGATTATATAATGTATTTTGTATTTATGTAGAATTAGAAGACATATCATTTTCCTTTGGAATAGAAAGCTAATAGATTATATGAAGTTAAATGGACCTTTTCGAGTTTATAATTTCAAGGAAGTATCTTCAGTGAAGAAATAAAAATAGCTCCTAATTTATTTTTCTTGTTTCGGGACACAATCTAACTTCTTAAGCATCTTAAGTAGCAACATTATTTTTTTTAAAAAATTTTAGTTATTTATTTGACAGAGATCACAAGTAGGCAGAGAGAGAGGAAGGGAAACAGGTTCCCCACTGAGCAGAGAGCCCGATGCGGGGCTCGATCCCAGGACTCTAGGATCATGACCTGAGCCAAAGGCAGAGGCTTTAACCCACTGAGCCACCCAGGCGCCCCACCACATTATTTTTTAAACAGTTCAGGAAGGGTTTTGTTTTGCTTTGGTTTGGGGGTTTTGCTTTACCCCTGGGAATCTGTTCTAGAGGTCTCCATAACTATCATAATTGTCTTTTTTTTTTTAAGATTTTATTTATTTATTTGACAGACAGAGATCACAAGTAGACAGAGAAGCAGGCAAAGAGAGAGGGGGAAGCAGGCTCCCTGCTGAGCAGAGAGCCCAATGCAGGGCTTGATCCCAGGACCCTGGGATCATGACCTGAGCCAAAGGCAGAGGCTTTAACCCAGTGAGCCACCCAGGAACCCCAATTGTCTTAATTTTAAGAGAACTTACTGTGGGGAAAAATGATATGAGGTTTCACAGTTCCTGAAAAATATTTTTGTTCTTGTACTACTGTATATGTTCAAAACCATCTTATTCTCTCACTTTGGTGTGCTTGAATGAAACAGTAGCAAGTCTGAGTATTAACTGATTTGCAAATATAAGGTAAACTAGGTGCTTTTAGCAATAACATTAAATTAAATTAATAATTTGAAGAGAAGAATAAGATTGGGAGGAAGAATTTGCTTTAGATTTGCCTGTATTATACAAGGTATTTACAGGATGTTATTTCTAAGTACAGTCAAATTGGATCTCTACTAAAAATGTATTTGCAGCATTTAAAGATGCCCTCTAGGGGAACTTGGATGGCTCAGTCAGTTGAGCATCCGACCCTTGGTTTTAGCTCAGGTCATGATCTCAGCTTAGTGAGATTGAACCCTGTATCAGGCTCTGCAATCAGCAGGGAGTCTGCTTGAGATTCTCTCTCCCTCTGCCCATCCCTCGCTCATTCTCTCTCTCTCTCTAAGATAAAAGATGTCCTCTATAATATAGAGTCTGAGCCACAATAAATAGATACATACTTGTACATAGAATTGTCACAACATGCAACTGGTTCTTAGAAATCGTTTGGAATCTCATGAACCTTATTAAACTCAGGAGTGGGGTAGGGAGAAAGTAATGCTTTATGATATCTTCTTCTCTTAAGAGAAGCAGCATATTATAATAATTTTAAGATCATTAACTCTGGAGCCAGGTTAGTCAGGTTCACATTCCATCTCTGCCATCGTTAGCTGTATGAGTTTGGGTAATTACTAAATTCTGCATGACTTAAATTTCTCATCAGGAAAATTTAGGATACCTTTTAGCATGTGTGTAAAGACGAAGTAAAAATATTTGTAAATTGCTTAAAGATGCTATACAAATATTTGATAATTGAAATAGATAATAAGATGGTTTTCACGGCATTCTTTGGAATATGACTTAGAAAAATGTAGTTTTAAAGGCAAACGTTTACATGTCTTACTATTTTTAAGCAAAGCTTGTAAAAAAAGGTAATTTAGACTCACTTGAATCTTACGCTTAGTAACAACAAGCACTATTAATACAACACAAAGTTGCTTGATCATCTCAAAAACCTAATCAAAACAGGCACATATACTTCATTCAGTTTATGATATGTCACCCAAGAAAGGGGGTTCCTTTGACTCATGGATCATTTATTACTTTGGCTTTTTCAAAATGCCCCCCAAAAATGCAGTTGTAGTAAAACAAAAGACTTTGATAATTTCCTTATCTCATCACTATCCTTATCTAGGTAACTAAAAAATGCATTTAATTCTAAATTTCTAGGCAGAAAATTTTAAGTATGAACAGTTTATTAAAATCTTCCTCTAATTTTGGCACTGCTTTATCCATTTGTTTAGTAAAAATTACTGAACCACATCTGTTCAATAGAAGTAGACTTATCCAGGTTAGCAATGATAATAAAACATTTTGCCCATGTCTCAGTACCCCCATCTTACCAGTGGTTTTGGCAGAGCGAAGCCCACCTCTTCATCTATATGGTATTTTTCAAAAATTTCCTGAGAACTTCCCATAAAAACTGTTTCATTATGTGCCATCCTTGCAGTCTTCTCCTTTGGTCCTTTTCAGTTTGATGGGGTTTCAGAGCATCTATTTATTATAAAGGTTGCCATAGCCAATGACCATAAACTTAACACGTAGGCAGTAAGAAATTACTTCCACTTTTGGAATAGTTTCATTTTCTTTCTTTGTAATTTGATAAACAATAAAACCACAAAAGCATCTCTATTCATCACACGAAGAAACTGAAAGCTTATTTTCTTATGAAGTGTTTATTAATGAGAACATCATCTGTTTACTGCCATCAGGGAAGTCAGAAGGAAACTGAAATAACCAAAACCATGAAAATAGGTAAGCAGAAAAAAACATTTTTTATGGGACCATTTAAATCTTTGAATTAAGATAACAAATTTGACCTAGGCCAAAGTCCTAAACCATCACTTAGTCAGCACTGTCATTGGCTTTTCCTTAAAGTCTCCAGGGTTCTTTGAACGTTTTAGTGCCTTATTTTGGCAGCCCTGAAAGGCAACCTGTGGTACACCGAACTAGAAAAAAATGGAAACACATGAAGAATTAAGATAGTAGCCCCACACCCCCATTTTCTTACCCAATCTTTTATCTGTGCTCACAATGATACAGTTCTTTCTTCTTCCTATTCCTTATAAGTCCTTTTTAGGAAGATTTTTCTGCATCTCTACTATATTTAACTGCTAAGGACTGATGATGAGACAACAGTCTTTCACATTTAGAGAGCTTGTAATGTGTTAAAAGTTTAAATAAAGGATGAAATACTCTGAAAATGTTTCTTTCAAAATGTAAATTAAAACTGCATTTGGTAAAGGTTTTTCAGGCTGCAGGCAGTTCTGTGGTCCCTTACAGGTATTGTTTGATCTTATTAATGAAGCTGAAGCAAAAGCAGAAACCATATCATTCTTTTTGATGATCAAAAGGAGAAATTAGTGTTCAGTACATTATAAAAATTCAGTTTTGTAATCCAGCTTATCAGTACTTGAAGTAACTTTTAATGGTGCATGCCTTTGCATTCTAGAATAGCTCTCACACTGTTTTTTCCTCTTACATCATGGGTTTCCTCTACATCATAGTTTTATAAGAATATAGTCTCCTGATAATAAAAATAAGAGAAATTGAAACCAAAATTATACAGCAAAGAGAACACTTGGCTAAGCTTCTTGAAAATGAATGATTCATAAGGCTGATATTTCTGAAACCAGGCCCAAGGCAAAAGAAACAAAAAAAGTATCATGTTGGGCTATCATATCTATATGAAAGCCAAAAATTCCAAAAAACTTTTAAGAATTAGAGAATGTGTTAGTCCTATAGTTCTTCACTCTTTGTATCTGGATTTTTTTCATGGGTGAGTCAAAAAAAGATACAAGGAATGGAGTTTCAGATAATTCTGTCTTGAAAAAGATTGAATTTTTTTAAGACGCATAGCTTGATAAAACTTTTCTTGACTCTGATTATCCAACTACTTCATTAAATTTGTCCTACTTTTGGGGAGGTTGGGTGGCTCAGTTGGTTTAGCAGCCAGCTCTTGACTTGGCTTAGGTCATGATCTCATGGTATAAGCATAGCTTGATAAAAACTTTTCTTGACTCTGATTATCCAACTACTTCAATAAATTTGTCCTACTTTTGGGGGAGGTTGGGTGGCTCAGTTGGTTAAGCATCCAGCTCTTGACTTGGCTTAGGTCATGATCTCATGGTCATGAGATTGAGACCCACTTCAAGCCCTGTGCTGAGTCTTCTTCCTGTACCCCTTCCCCTTCTCATACATGCTTGCACATCCTCTCTCTAAAATAAATAAATAAATAATAAATAATAAATCTACCTGTAAAAAAAATCCATCCTACCTTTGACTGCAGAAACAATAATACTTTAGTATCCTGCTTTGTTCTTTACCTATTTATCTCTACTTACACACTTTTACCCTTTTCATATTTCTGAAACTACATTCTCAATTGATCCTCAGTCCTCATTTGCCTTACTTTTTCTTCAGTAATAATCACATCTCATTGAAAATCCCTTTTCAGGGGCACCTGAGTGGCTCAGTGGGTTAAAGCCTCTGCCTTCAGCTCAGGTCATGATCTCAGGGTCCTGGGATCAAGCCCTGCATTGGGCTCTCTACTCAGCAGGGAGCCTGCTTCCTCCTCTCTTCCTCTCTGCCTGCCTCTCTGCTTACTTGTGATCTCTGTCTGTCAAATAAATAAATAAAATCTTAAAAAAAAAAAAGAAAATCCCTTTTCACATGGTGTCCAAAAAACATTATTTATTTATTTATTTATTTTTTTAACTTACAACCTTGAGGCCAAGACCTGAGTGGAGATCAAGAGTCAGATGCCTGACCCAGGCAACCCTTTGGAAAAACATCTTGATCTTACTATCATCTATAGATTCTTTATGTTTTTCTTTCACTTTTTACCTGTGGCCAGCTCATTGTGAAAGAAGGCTCCTGAAAGTTGAAACTCAGCATTTTGCTCTACAGCCTCCCAACTCTGACAGATGTGAATCTGTCTATCTTGTATATATCACCCGTTTTGATGACTCGGTCTCTTCTCTCTAATAATTGTACTGCCTGACTTATCTCCACAGCTATAAACTACATTTCCAATTGCCTGGTACTCATCTCCATCTGGAAATCCTGTTATCTTGTTTCATAGGGCACAATATCAGAACTATTGTTAGTAGACATACAAATGGACTTTTATCTAGGACCATGATAAACACAAATTTTTTCCCTGATAACATGAGATCACATATGATAATCCAAGTTTCTCTTTGCCATTAAGTTATGCTAGTTTATGTAAAGAGTAGCTTTGTTTTAAATAAAGGATTTTTCAGTTAAAAAAATAAAGTGATCAAAAGCATACAAGAAGAATGAAGAAAATCACTGAAATACTGATATCCACTGACATTCACCATTAATGTTTAGTGATTATGTTTTCTACTGTTTTTTGTTTACATTAATAATATTAAAAATTTTCTGAGCCCTTATTTGTGTTAGGAATTTTAAAAAATTTTTAATGCATTTATTATCTTATGAGGAAATTCTCATGATAACCCTAAGAAGAAATTAAGGTAGCTCAGGATTTCCTGTGCCTCTAGTTGCCTGAACAAAATAAAATTAAATACTCCCTTGAAAGAAGTACCCCAAAGTATTTCTGTCACTTTTATAGATATCTGGCTGTTATTAGCTAAATAATCAGGCACACCATGTAGTATCATGGAAACAACAAATTATAGAAGACACCCATAGGGAATTAGATAAAAGAAAAGGGAAACAGACTTTAAAAGTAATTTGTTTAATATATTCAAAAAATAAAAGATAAGATTGGGAAATTTTGCAGAAAATGTGAAAACCAAATGAGTATTCTGGAATTAACATCATTGATAAGAGAATTAATGAATTTGCAGCTATAGCAGAAGAAAATATGGATTAAAGCCTGAAGAGGAAAAAAAAAAAGATGGAAAAGAGAGAGAGAAATAGAATGAAGCACACTCAGAGAGAGGGTAAAGTGAGGAAATCCAGCAGAGATGCAATCTCAGTCTCGAAGGAAGAAAAGATAGAAGGTAGAGAGAAGCAATAAAGCTGAGAAAAAATTTTTTTTTAAAGATTTTTTATTTATTTGTCAGAGAGAGAGGGAGAGAGAGCAAGCACAGGCAGACAGAATGGCAGGCAGAGGCAGAGGGAGAAGCAGGCTCCCCGCCAAGCAAGGAGCCCGATGTGGGATTTGATCCCAGGACACTGGGATCATGACCTGAGCCAAAGGCAGCTGCTTAACCAACTGAGCCACCCAGGCGTCCCAAGGCTGAGAAAATTTTAAACATGATAAAAGACTCTAAGTCACAAATAGACAAACACTATTTAAAAGGGCTAAATGAAATGAAACCTATAGACATAATAGTAAAAGAGCAAAAAAAAAAAAAAAAAAAAGAAGATAAAAGTCTTTAAATTTTATTTTATTTTTCATTCAAGAATGTATTTATTTATTTATTTGAGAGGGAGAGCATGATCCAGAAGGAGGGGCAGAGGGAGAGGGAGAAGACGACTTTCCAGTAAGCAAGGAGCCAGATGCTGGGCTGCATCCCAGGACTCTGAGATCATGACCTGACCTGATGATGGATACTCAACCAACTGAGCCACCAGGCAGTCCCCAAATCTTTGCATTCTAAAATTAGAAAAAATATAACAAGTTACCTTCAAAGGAGCTAAAAGCCTGGCAGTTAAATTCTCAAAGAACAATTGGGACCTGAAGACAATGGAATAATATCTTAAAAGAGTGCTGAGAAAAAAAATCAAATCATAATTATATATTCACAAAAAATAATACTCAAGAATATAAATAAAATAAAAATATTTTCAGTTAACCAAACAAAAGATTAGAATCTATTACCAGCTAACCCACAATCAAGGAAAAATTAAGTTTTTCTGTTTGTGTGTTTATTTTTGCAAAGGAAAACTAATTGCAGGCATAACAAAAAATGACAAATTATTATTCAGATAGATGGATTGAATTAAAAATATATATCAACAACAGTATAAATATGAGGAGGGATAGAAACATAATTAAATTCCTTGCATTTCCTGGTAAGAACTAATTTATAAAGGTTTTGAAAACTTGTATGCATTTGTCTTAATCCCTAGGGCTACAACAGATAAATAATGTAATAATGAAAACCAACAAGCCAATAGATGGGAAAAATGATTAATAAGTAAATCTTAATCAATAAACATCAACATTAAAAAAAAAAAAAGATGCTGGGGTTCCTGGGTGGCTCAGGCAGTTAAGCATCTGACGCTTGATTTCTGCTCAGATCATGATCTCAGCATCATGAGATCAAGCCCCACATTGAAATTCATGCTTACTGCAGAGTATGCTTTTTATTCTTTCCCTCATTCTTTCCCTCCTTCTCAGCCTCCCCCTGCTCACTCAGTCACTCTCTCTCTCTCAAAACAAACAAATAAATAAATGAATAAATGGTTAAATAAATAAAATTTAAAAAAGAAAACAAATAATTTAACAGTGGATTTAAAATCATATACATCAGTAATTACATTTTATGTAAATGAACCAAACCTTCTCATCTAAAATTACAAAGATCATCAGACTGCACTTTTGAAAGCATAGTTATATGCTGTTTGAAATATAAAAATTGGAAATATAAGACTACAGAAAGGCTAATAAATAAAATAATAAAAATACATATTA